ATTTAATTTTAATTTAGCCATTAAAAATTTTGAAAATGTTTAGCTCAAATATAGCTTCAAGATTTCACCAATGCAAGTGACACCATTCTAACTCAAGTGCAGTTACTACAAAGGTGACAAAATACTAGTGAGCTAAAAATGATATTTTTCACAAGAAAATATGAAACTTAAGGCTTGAATTAAAGTTCGCTTAAGCTTAATTAAGCAAAAGAAGTCATGAAAGAAAAGGTAAAAAAATATACCATGCATGGCATTGAAAGCATATGTGCACTAGTTTTGGCCTAATGAAGCTTTTTGCATCAAAATGCATCCAAAATGAGTCCCAAAAGCTCCATTTTTTCTCCTTACTCATATTTTACCTACTCATTGAATATTTATGCAATTAGGAGTATTTTTGTAAAAATTTTCAAGAAACAAGCACATATTCACTAAAAATTGTTGTAAAAAAAGTGATAAAATGCTAAAATTTTAGTGCAATCAATGGTCAGTTACATTGTGTCAAAACATTGCAAAATGATCTTTTAGTGGGAAACGAAAGTTTATGTATAGTTTAGTGCATGACTAATCACATAAAATCATAGGTTCAACAATTTAAGATCTACCATACAATTTTGATTAGCTCAACATCACTTTATTAATAAAGTGGAGATTTTTAATCATGTTATATGATATCTTCACTGTATATAAAAATTTTGAAAATATCAAAATTTATCATATTTTATAAATAGGAAGAGATTGTTGGAAAAAAAATTTCAAAATATGAAAATGTTAATTATGTTAAACTATTTAAAAACTTAACGTTATGTTCCATGATAAAAAAGATTGGTTCAAAAAATCAATGCAAGGCTTACAATAAAAGCAATCGACTACTATATTGTTGTGTTGAGGAGTAGTTGACAGCTAATGCCAAAATAGTCAACTATTATGTATTCCAAAAAAGTACGTACAAAACTTAAAAAGGAGTCGTCAATTGCTTACCATAATGTAATCGACTATTATGGTTAGAATCGATTACACAATAGATTACAATTAGTTGTAAGTATTCTTAAATTGAGGGAAGTCGATTACTTAAGATAGCAGTTGACTACCCTATTTCTTGGACTATTTAAAATTTGAAAAATACAAAGAAACAGTTAACTACCTATAAGGAAGAATCAATTACTTAAGTTGGAAAATTGTAACTTTTTGAAAAGTGAAAGTTGTTTCTCTTGAATGATTCATATGATTCATATGAACAAATACATTTGTAATTGTTCATAAGTGTGTGTTCTTATTTAAAGGGCATGGTTGTTAATTGGACCAACACAAATTAAGAGACACAACATTTTGTTTCATTTTTTATAAATAAAAATGTTGTGGGTTCTTTTTTAAAATTTTCAAAATTAAAGAAAATTTCTTTTCTTTCTCCTATTCTTTCTAAAATTCGAAGTATTTTTTAGATTGTTTCTGTAGAAAACATTAATAAAAATACATATTTTTGTCTATCACTAGAGGATGTTTAGTGCTTTGATATCATAGGTGTAAGGTGATATCAACTAAGGTTTCATTGTATTCTAGAGGCATTTTGGTTTATCTCTCATACATATTATAACTAGTTGAGATGAAATAAACTTAAAAGAAAATGCCATTTACAGCACATCTTGAAGCCATTTCCTTTGTTCTTTGAAAGTTTCATATTAGGTTCAACATAAAACTTTAAAGGAAAATATACTGGTGGAAAATCATTAACATCAAGTTCATGGAGAAACACACTTTGTGATTTTGTACCAAATATATTATTTAACATAACTCAATGTATAAATCTTCTCCATGCTTTTTTGGAATAATGGGTACATAGCCTAGATCATTTACTCTTTGAAGAAAAGTACCATTGAGGTATTTTGAAATAACATTCATATGCCAATCGTAAAAGGATAATTGGATTTGACAGTGTATAAATCTTCTCAATGCCTTTCTCATTTGCATAGTCTCTCTTTTTACTTCATTGTAATCTAATGATGGTAATAACACTAAAAAAGTAACTAATTATTTAGCAAATATTCTATCCATTCTTCTTGTCTCCCATAATTAATTTTCTCTTATTTTTATATTTGAATTTTGAAACTCTATTATTGGTTTGAATTCTAATTCAACTATAAGTCCTTTTGAAATATTTAGACATTTTATTAGTTTATTGATAGAGGGATGAATTTGTGATTTTAGGGCAAGTTTTAGTTTTTGATAAATTTTTTATTTTTATTTTTTAAATAGGCTTTGAATACTTTTTTAAATACAAATTTATATCAATAGCTAAAGATTTAAAGGTATTTTTGAAATTGAATAAAAATCTACACCAATTTTGACATCATTATTCTCTTTTGGTAACGATAATTAACTTCAGGGTTTTAAGTAAAAAAAAATTCTTAAAGTAAAAATGAGAAAGTCGAATAATACAAAAAATATATGTAGGATTTACCCTTGTATTTATTTATTTATTTATTTTTATGTTGAATTGGGAAGGATTCTAAGCTTGAATAAAGGCTTTAACATGATCACATTTTTACACACCTAATATGTAGGTGTAATAATGAATTATTTATTAGGGATAAAAATTGGTGAACTTTAATTTCGTAACATAATTTACCCCAACTGTCATTAAAAATTCCATGTCATAATAGCCTAATGATGGCATTGAAATTCCTTTGTTGAGCATCTAAATGCCATCATACAAAAAGGTATCATTTAAATAGCATAAGTAAAGGCATCCAGATGCCCATTCAAAAACATCATCCAAAAGCCAAGCATTCAACTTCTAGTAGCAAGGCATCCGAATACCTTTAAAAATCTGCAAACAGAAAAATAGCATTCGAATGCCTAAGGTAAAACATCAGAATGCCCTTCAAACAAAAGCTTGGCATTTAAGTGCCAAAGGCAAGCATCTGAATGCCCTTGAAGAAATTCTTAGACAGAATTTGAACATTCGAATGTTTCAGCACTAGCATTCGAATGCCTTGTGCAAAAAGTCTTCTCTATCGGCTATAGGTTTGAATTTTTTCATCTTCTAGTATAATCTCTTTAAATGACTATATTTCGATTTTCAACTATAAATACACCTTAGAAGACTTAAAATTAACAACTATGTGATTACAAAAGCAACCATTTAATTAATTGATCAGAAATCAACATGCAATATAAGGCTACATATTACATCTTTGCATAGAAATCAACATTCTTTTAATTAAACTCAAAATTAACTTAACATGCATAGCGACATCCTTACATCAATATTGTCAAATAGATAAATAATGCATAAACATCTATTTAATACCTAAAATATACTTTAAGAACATAATCCATGAGGCCACCATAAGACATGTATCATATTTACTCTTTGCTAACATTTCGTTGCATGTTCTCATTTTTTCTTTTTGATTTCTAATTTTATTCACCAACCTATTCAATTCATCAATGTTGACAAATTTCTTAAGTTGTGTATTCTCAATTCTTAACTTTTCGTTTTTATCAATAAAAGATTATTTTGATTAATTAATTCTTATTCATATTTCTTAGGTAAACTTCAAAGGTAAACTTATCATCATTCTTTTCAATCCAATGAAAAAATTCACATCTATCAGTTTGCAACAAAGATAAATATAAAAAATCAGTACTAAAAAGTAAATCCCTAATAATGGTTAAGCCTAAACCTAAAAATTACTTACCACATATCAATATTTAGCTATATTGCTAATGAATTACTTATATTACCCTAATTTTGTTATTTAAACTGAACTTAAAACCTAAAGTTCTATGGAATTCAATATCATTTTTCCAACAAATTCAATAATATTGCATAGGTTATAACTAAAACTAATAAATCGATATCAAAATAAGAATTTAGTACCCAATTTTCTAAGTTTACCCTAAATAAAACCCAATTAAATTCCTAATTTTGTTATTCAACTCGAATTCAAAATTCAATTCCATGTCCAATATTTTTATATACCTCTTTATATTTAGGCAGCCATAAAAATTTTTTCTTTTGCTCGATGGAGTGGTTGAGGTGCTAATTAAAGCCCTTAATCCATAATAACAAAATTTTTTTTTGAATGATTTGTTGATTTTAAGTTTGAGGTGGATTTCCTTTCCGCTATTTGAGAATGTAAAGAAGGAAGAAGAATGAATGAAGCAACAATTTAAAAGAAACCCCAACGATTTTATTAAAGGCAAAAGAAATGCAAAATGCAAGGTTTTTGTTTTTTAAGGGTAAAATATAAAATGAAAGTGTTATTTTTTTTGTTTGAAATTAAATTATGATATGAAAATTAGGTTGTTATAATGTGTATTTTTAACAACACCTTACATTCTCTAATTGGTAGTTTAAAACATGTAAGCTTTTTTGTCAAGGCTATAGGAGAAAATATGTTGCAAAAATAAAAGTACAAGATTGATAATTTTAAAAAATTTTAAATATTAAAATGATAGAAAGTATAAAGTACATGAATTTTTTTTGTATTTAACCCTATTTATTATTTCGAGAGAGTTAAAAGGAACTTACATTTTTTTAAGTATCAAGCAAAAAACAAAATACAATGCCAAATTACCCTTAATGAACAGCCAAATTTAAATTTACTTTTATAAATAAAATAAAATATTATTACGTAGATTTTAAGCGTAAATGCTTCATCTCTCGTGCCAAAAAGAATTGAATCACTAAATTTGTATTAAAAGTTTAAAATATGAAATACTTATAGGAAATAAAAATAATATAAATTAAAAAAAATAAAATAAAAAATTTATTTTTTAATAAAATATAATATAAATGTATAAATTATTAATATATTGCATTCTACAAATATTTGAATTACCAAGTCTAACGACGCAGGCGAAACTTCCCATCAGATTCTCGCCTCGTCGGCTCCACGATTCACTCTTCCCAAAATCAAATACCAGGATTCTCCATTTTAATCACGACGATAGTGCTTTAAATTGTCGCTAAAGATAAAAGAAAAATCACAGAAACACAAAAGTAAATATTTAAAGCGAAAAATAAAAAAAACCCAATCAAATCAAACCACAAAGCAAAGTTATTGTGGCCAAAGCCCAAAAGGCACCGCCCCAACCAATAAAAAATGAACTAACCTCCCTCTTCACTACGTTTTTTGTTTCTCATCTTTGACTTGCCATTTTCAACACCAAATATCAAAATCAGATCAACTCTATCTATGTACAATTATTATAGAGAAAAGCGCAGAAAGATCTATACACTGGTTGAGAGAAATTTCAAACAAAGGCTTTCAGACCAATCCATGGGTTCTTTCAATCCAATCCAACACAAGGTTTGATCTTTCTGCTTTTAATTTCTCTCAAAGAACCCAAAATCCTTCTGGGTTTTTTCATAGATCTGTCTTTGCAATCGATTTCTTAGTCCTTTTCTGATGATCTTCCAATCTTCATTTGTACTGGGTTTTTAGGGTTTACAAAATTGGTACATAAATTTGATCTAGAAATTAGGTCTATTGCACTTTTTCTGAATATATAGAAAGTTATAGTGTTTGATAAGTGGAAAGATGCAATCTAGAAGAAACGAGGAGCAGGTTGAACTATCTCCGACTGTTAAGTTGCGTAGTCAACGCAGAGCTGCTGCTCAAGTTGGTTCTCATGACGCTTATCCGGTATCGCGTCGTGATGTGATGAGTAATCGGTCTCCTCCATCGCGTGGACGAAGGAGTTATAGTCCTAATACCCTAGATGTATCTAGGAGGGGAGGTTTGGCTAGGGATCGAATGAGCGGATCGATGGAGGGGAGGGATTCATATGGTTGGCATTTGGGTAGTGGTAGCGCTGAAAAGGCGCGATCAAGATCACCCCCGTATGAGCAAATACGTAAAAGGCCTCATTTTGAGGATGAGAGAGTTGTCAATAGAAAATATGATTATGTTGAGCCTGTCGCTTTTGATGATAGTACGAGCTCCAGAGTAAGGAGCGTTTTCAGGTATGATCATGGTACTTCACGGATGGGCAAAGAGAAGGACTATTTGGAAAACAGAGTTACAAATGTTGATGGACATCTAATGATGGGTCAGAAATTGATTCCAGTGGAAGATTTTGCAACAAGAGGGCCACGTCAGTTGCCACAAGATCTGGGTCCAAGCTTAAATTATGCAGAAACTAGTGGACAATTACCATTGTCCTCCCGAGGTATTGATATAGATAAATATGAGCATGAAAAATTTCAGCATCGAGAAACTATACCTTCAAATAAGGTGAAAGTTATGGATTCTTACAAAGAAGATAAACCCATGTACCATTCACAGGATGTTGCATATAGTATGGTGGCAGCATCTCACTCCAAGGACTTCGTGAGCACCCCTCAGCTTAAGGATTTTGCTGGCACATCTTCTGGTATCACTAGAACTGAGTTTCTGAGTTCATATCAGGATGATGCACCTGTTTCTGAAGAATATCTTAGGAGCAGCAGGAAGCTCACAGAACCTGTGGGATATAATAAATATGACCAAAGGCAACTTACAGATGCTGCAAGAGATTCTGAAACTGCTAGAAGGAATATGATATTATCTCAGCAAGAGGCAAATAGTCCGAGCAGGGCTGAGTATGAGGATAATCTGTACCGAAAACCTAGGGCAATAGGAATTAACAATCATGGGTATTCAGCGGAGGACTTAAAAAGGATGATGCCTTCTCAATCTCGAGTTAGCTATGAGCATGCTTCAATTGATTACGGTCATAGAGACATGTCAAAACCAAATATTTTTCACCATGTTGATGACAGGATTGATAATACAGATGATTCTTTTGGAAATTTGAGAAAGGGCACTATGCGGAATGATCGTACTTTGCAAAAGCAGATAAGTACAGACTACATTGATATGAGCAGATCATATGCATCGATGCAAGGTGGGGAATATGTGGGTTCAGAAGACACCGATGTTGCATTTAGAAGAAGACTACCACAAGATTATGAAATGTCACTTTTGGATGCATCTCACAATCGTCAAGTATCAAATTTGAGATCTGATTATGGTTTTGGCAGAGGAGCAGGTCCAGAGTTTCAAAATGAAAGAGTGATAAATTCTCCTGCATATAAATATGAAGCAGAGCAATGCAGACTTGGTCCAAGACCAAAGAGAATGGAGGAAGAGCTTGACATGTACTCAGATAGGATCCATAAAAGGCAGTTTCTTATGGAGGAAGATGTCGGTAGGCCCAGTTCTAAAACTATTGTATCTAGCAAATTGCATTCACTTGGCGACTTTGGAGGTCCATATGACAGCGAGGAGCAGATTGATGAAGATATAATTGGTTTACATGCATCTAAGACTAAAGGGTATGGCCACAATGAATATAAAAAGGTTGTAAGGACATATGATGGGCAAGACCATCGCAGAGATTTGGAATTGGATGACTGGTATGCGTCCCAAGGTTCTTTGGCACATTCAGAAAGGGTTCCAATCAGATTTTACAAAAACAGTGGTAAATATATTAAGGGAAATCCCAGACCTGGTTATTTTAACTGGCTTACCTCACACCATAATGACAGAAGTAACCTTCATAAACAAAACAAAGTTTGGAAGAGAAATGAAGATTATGATGAGGATATAAATGCAAATGATGGTGACATGACAGAAGATTTAGTGAATTATGCAGAGGCTGAACTGTCTGAGGATTCAGAAGAATTTAAGCAATTGGTACATGAAGCATTCTTAAAGTACTCTAAAAAGTTAAATTTGAACCAGTCTGTTCGTAGAAGATACAAGGAGCAAGGACATGCTGGTAGTTTGTTCTGCATTGTCTGTGGTAGAAGGTATTTTTTCTTTTCTATGACATGCATTTTAAAGAGGGTCACATGTTTTCATTTATTTCTTTGTTTGAATCAGGAGTTTCCTAGTGTCTCTTAAAGCTATAATCAAGTATGCAAGGCCCTAAAGATTTTATCAGATGGTCTTTCTAGGACCATTTTATGGCGCTTGGACATTTGGGAAAGTAACAATCGCATTACTATTATTTAGTTATTTAAGTAATGAAATTTAAGTTTTATTCTTCTGGATGGTAACTAGGATCATATGATGGTTAGTCGGAAAGAACTTTATTTCAGGGTTCAATACCAATTCATTTGCGTCTGAGCAGAAATACGCTGACTTAAGTAGATTATTGGCCTGAGTAATGATGATTTAGTAACAATTTGCAGGTTTTCTATGATGTATGGTGGACCAGCTAGTGAATGTCAAGCTGGAAATCTAAATTTGTTGAGTCCTTGTGACCTTAGAAAATTATTTTGTGCAGTAAACGAAGAAGAATAGAGAGGAGAGTTTGGAACATTTTAAATGATTTTGAGTTTTGGCTTTTGTGGCCAAAAAATGCTGAATGGGCAAGCTTGCTGTGTGATGGGATCAATGTTTGCTTTTTAATCAAGTTAAGCTTCATATCATTTCATATAGAAGGTGTATCCAGTGAGGTTGGAAGTTTTCTGCTTTAGATCACATTTACCTGTAAGTGGGCAAACTGCTGAAAATTGGTTGATCTTGATATGTCAAGCGGAGAACTTTGCAGGATTCTTTAACTGTGCTTAATATGGAGACCGTCTCAACTTCATTGTGGATAGGATTTTTAGCATTCCTTGCTCATTCTTGATTGATTTGTGAGAAATAGCTGCTTGATTTCAGCAACAGGCATCTAGGATGTTTGGTTTGAGCCATTACATGTTCTTGCTTCTTAAGAATCCTTGAATGTTTCTAAGGAGCAGGGATAGTACCCTTGTGTCTGATAGAGGGGTTTTAGTAGTCTGAATGTAAGACCTATTAGAATGTTGTCATAAGATTTCAATAGGTAATTTGAGTAACAACTTGAGTGGTTCTATTTTTCTGTGGCAAATAGGATGATAGTGAGCGACTAGCCATCATTTATGCTGCTACTTACTTTTAGTGCGGAGGTCCATGGTGCAGCAGGTCTAAATGGTGGTGTAGACAGTCAAATCAAAGAGAGTGAGATAAAGCTACATAGTCTGTATCATGCTAGAGGTCAACTGTATAAATTTTGTAAACAACTTTGAGAAAAACTTGTCTTATTTTTTCATGTTGTGGTTTTAAACTGTGATTTCTTATAGCAGGCTAAATGTTGATCTTAATTATCTGTCTTGATTCTGATAGAATCTCTCTGTGGTGTGTGTGTGTATTTGTAATCCTTTTTGAAGTCATTTTTGTTAGTATGTGTGTATTTATGAATGCAGTCAACTCTTTTGAAGTCATTTTTGTTAGTATGTTGTTTTCACTCTTCATTTGTCCTAGCTTCTCTATATTTTAGGAAAATCTTTCACAAAATCGAATGTATCCCTGTTGTGTACAACCATGTTTGACTCTTGAGCCTGGGTTGAACATAAGATATGTTAAGGTAGGTCACTTTTTGACCCAAGTAAAAGGGGAGGCTAGTTTTTGGAATGCCATTTGCCACTTTATTTCCAGTGACTGCAGAACAAATGGTTTAAGGTACACTAGGTGGAAGTTGGATGTTACTTTCACTGTCTTTGGTTTTGATTCCAATCTCTGTGATGAGGATACTGGTTGTTTAACTTCTTTGTGTACCTGGTAAAATTTTAATGGCTGTGAGAGCATCAATATTTGTGAACATCAAGATAATATTTCTTTCAATCATAATCTCCTTTTTAAAATTTATTATCATTGATGGTTCTTTCTCTCTTTATTGTTCTTATATCTATGCTCTTACAGCTACTCAAAGGAGTTCATGGACACCCAACGCCTGGTGACACATGCCTTCATGTCTCACAAGGTAGGGTTGAGGGCACAGCACTTAGGTCTACATAAAGCAATATGTGTGTTGCTGGGGTGGGACAGCATAGCGCCTCCTGACACTATAACATGGGTTCCCCACGCCTTGCCTGAAGTTGAGGCGTTTGCTCAGAAGGAGGATTTGGTTCTCTGGCCTCCAATTGTTGTCATCCACAATATTTCCATGGCGAACAACAATCCTCAAGAACAGAAAGTTGTTCCGATCGAAGGGGTGCAGGCATTTCTAAGAGGTGAGTAGTTGACTGACAAATTTGCATGATAATATAGTAAATAGCTTAACTTATTTAGTTTGAATTCTTTTAAGAGTGGAATAGAAAAAATGGATGTTTTATGCTGCGTGCTAATATAAACAAATAAAAATGAATAAATGATAAAAACACGACAAACAAAATACGATAAGAAAAAATATGGTCAAGTTGAATCAGGTTGCCAATGTGCACTATGAATAATTGGAATTAATCAGTAATGTTAAAAGTTTTCTACTTATCAATGAATGTAAAAGACTTTCTTTGGACAGAAGACAAGACTGATAATTTATTTCTTTCATACGTGGTTCTTTTTCTTTTTCTTCTTTTTTTCCCCCTTGTTGGTTCTTGGATGATGACAGGTGAAGGCTTTGTTGGGGGAAAGATCACTGTTTGCCTAGGAAGGCCTGCAGACCAAAGTATTATGGTGGTGAAGTTCTTAGGCACTTTTACTGGACTGGCAATGGCAGAGAGACTTCAGAAGTATTTTGTTGAGAATAAGCGGGGGAGAGTGGAATTTCAGCGAATAACTTTGAATAATGACAAAAGCAGCATTGAAGAAATAGGAATACAGGGTGACAAATTGGAGGAACAGCTTCTGTATGGTTATATGGCAATTGCAGAGGACTTGGACAAACTTGATTTTCATAACAGGAAATGGTGTCTGGTAAAGAGCAAGAAGGAGATTCAGGACTTGGCAAATGATCCTGTCAAAATTGATGAAAGGTAATGCTCTTGTTAGATCTAAAAGGCTGGACAAGAATCTTATATTATCCTTGAATGAACATTTATCTCTGAAACAAGTGTGGCTTGATTAACCTTATTATCTTCTATCTTTGTAATCCTAGTAGCTTATTTCTGCTATGAATTTAAACAGATGTAAAATAAAATTGCAACATATTTATCTACTTTTGGAGATTGTCTGTTGCCTTATATGTTGCTCCTACACTTCCGGACATATTTTATGGAGCCAGCAATGCTGCTTCGAACCTGAAAACTCATCTGAGTCGATCCCTGACTGAATCTAGATCAATTCATGTTGATAAAAAATGTCAAAAACCGAAAGCAAAAAAATTTGATCCGAAAAAATTTGAACTTGAAAAAGTTTAAAATAGACATAATCTGAATCTATTATGATTCGATTCTGTAATAATTCGAAATTAAAATTGATTCAATTTGAAATTTATAAAATATTTAATTATAATCTGAAAATATTTGAATTATAATTATATGATTTTATTTAAAAAATAAAAATAAATAAATAAATCATAAATAATTTTTAATTAAAAATTTAAAAATATTATTGTTGATAATTATTAAATAATTATATCAATAATTGATCAACACAATTAATGTTGAATCTTTAAATTTGATTATGAAATTGAATTAAATAAATTTTAATACTATCCTTATCATATTTAACAATTATCAATACAAAATAAAAATAATATTGTTAATTTAAAATTTGATTTCATTGTCAAAATAATCATCGGTAATATATTATAGAACTAATGAGAGATACTCCCGCACTTTGTTGCTAAATTCATTAAATTTTTTGACTTTTTTAAAACAATCATTATCACAATTATTAATTTGTGAAGTAAAATAAAAGAAATTACATTAAAATCCAAAATTAAGCATCAAACAACTTTTAAAAAAATTCTAAAGGTGCTTTTACAGACACCAAAATGAGGGAAAATCACTTGCAAAAAACTAATGCAAATAGCATTACTCGAGCTGATTTAATATCTTGACGTGCACTCAGGACACACCGCATAAAGAGGTTAGGCTCACAGTTATATTCGATAAATCTTATACCATTTGCATTAGAACCAACCTAAATGCAGAAGTCTAGCACGCTCTTGGATCTCGGTCCATCAATTTTGTCCATGTTCTCGATCGTCGACAAAGATGCATCCTATTGCCGCCTTTATTAAGGAAAAGAAAAACATAAAGAATACAATCTTACATGCCGGCAAAAGCAACCAATCTATGATCTCAAAGTAGCAAAACTAAATATATCTCAAATTATAGAAACAATGTTTGAACTGTTATAATACTATATATTATCTTATTTACCTTACAATAACAATTATAGCTTTAATTATCCTTTGGTGCTAAATATTACATGCTTCTTACAGAGAACATTCAGACCAAAATATTTGCTTATTCAATGATCCATATATAGATGTATACATAATTATGATTATAATTATTTTGTATTTGTAGTTTCATTAAAAAATATATATATATATTTTTGTATTTTATTGCTTAGGTGCATTGAAAGAATTATTATGTTCATTAAAAAGTTGAAGCATTCATTAATTAGTCATCAATGCTTAATTATAATTAAAAGTCCTCATTTACATACAAATGAATTCATACCCTATATATAAACTTGGCGTTGCAGAATTCACCTGTTAGAGAAACAGTTGCAAAAATTAAGTAACAAACACAGATTATCACTAAAAGAAATATTCAAGCAGGGACTATGCAGCAACTACAACAACAGTAGTAGGGGAACTATTCATCTGCTCCACAAAATTTTGACCACATCCAACCTCAACGTCCTCAACAGCATTTGTCAAATCAATAATCAGGTTCAACGTTCCAAATCTGACCGGGACGGTGAGGCCAACACAAATGAGGATGGCACATGGTAATAATTCTAATCATACGACAAAACAGCTCACCTACAAGGTTATTTGCCAATATAAACATTGAAAATAGTAAATGATTTTTATTATAAAAATATATTCTTGGTCAAGTTTTTTCTTTTCTTTGTAAAAGCAGTACTTTTCTATCTAGACTCAATCTGTTTATAATTTACAGAAAAATAGATCACTGCATACCCATTTGTTTATATCCAATTCCACGTGAATATTTAACTTTACAACAAAATAACTAACAAAAAACAAACTCGATAACTGTTACCTGAAGAGCGAAAAAGGATGCAAACATGATCATCCCCCAAAAAAGTTATAAGCAAAATCAAATGAAAATCTTATTTAAAAAATCATTAACATAACAAACTTAAGACATGTAGCAAAAGTAAAAGAATTCCACATAGTTTTAGAAAAAAAAGAGTTATTTAATTAATAAATAAGTATAAAGAAA